CCGACTCTGGGGTTGCGGCGCTCATCTCACTTTATTGGCCGAGGGAGCCGGTGTACAACTTCCGGGTCATGTGGCCAGCATAACTAAGCCGCTTCAGGCAAACCAGAACAGCGCACGGAAATGCCGTTTACCTTCCCGCCGGAGCAGTATCTACTTATCTACTTGCACTTTGATGTGCTAGGTGGGCAGGAGCAGGGACCGAGCAACGGAAGCTCACCCAGTCGCGGGGATTCAAACCACTGACCTTCTGATCGGCAAGCCCAAGAGGTTTAAACCACAGCACCACCCGCATCTCTTCTTCCTTCAGTAGGGAGCAATAAAAAAAGGAAAGCAGGGAGACAGTGGCAAAAGTTTTACCTGCTTTGCAGTCATCCTGCCTCCTGTTTTTGTCTTGCTGCTGGTGGGGGTGCAGAAAGCAGGAATGTGCAATAAGAGTGCTTCTTCATACCCCGCTGCAAAGGAAGTGAATGCATTGTGATAAGCAGCAATGGCTAAATAGTACTCTTGCACAATGAGTTTATCTCACCTACCCACCCGAAGAAAAAAAAGATATCCAAGGTGGGAAAAGTAATGGGAAGCTACAGCGGAAAGTGCAGGAGAACAAGCAATTGATGGCAAAGTCATATAACCTCCGCACAATTTGTGTGAGAACAAATCAGGAGATTGCTGAATATACAATTTGCCTGAAGCGACCAAAGAGAGGAAAGTAGGCCAGACAAAGGTGGACTATTGGGAAATGTCTGTGAATTTCAATAACAGGAAGAGGACCACGTTGTCAGGAGTGGTAGAAATGAGCAGCAGTTGCGGGAAGTTGTAGAATTCCTGGCCGTCTTGGGAAAACAGGATCTTCAGTTTAACCTAATGCAACAGTCTTCCAAAGACCAGCTTCATGGTATGCCCTAGAACTAAAAGTACAGCATAACCAGGTGGGAATTTCAAACAGCTCTTGGAATTCGAGTAGGAGAACTGAACAGTCACAGCCATTCTACTAAACATTGTTAGCTGTTATTGCAAGAGGTGGTGTGATGGGCAAGACAAGCAATGATTCCACCAGGAAGTAACCAAAGGCTCATTTATTAATGCAGCTTTTCATCAATATTTTTTGTAACGAAAGGCTTTGTTGTAAGATGTGGAATGCCTAGATGGGCTATGTTTTTATTTGTTGTTTTAAAGTTGTGGCGAGGATCACTCTTTGCATTGCAGCACTCAACGTGGCTTTGTTGAATCTGACTTCCATTTTTTAAAAAATAAGCTTTGTGTTTCTTGTTGAATCATATGGAAAAAACCAAGCTCATCAGTGTTAGCACAGTACCTCTGAAGAAAATTCTTGGTTAAGGAATTATATATGGCTTAATTACTTTCTTTTCATTTGTTTTAGAAAATATTATACATATCCGGTGACAGTATTCTTGTGTTGATTTTTGCTTTTCGATTGTTCACTTAGAAGGATATTGCTCCAAATATTTGGTGTTCTATAATTAACTTTGAAATGTTATGAGATCAGTGTGAATAAAAGTGGGAAGTCATTGTTCAACCATTGTTTTGGGGGGAACTGCTAGTTAGAGCTGAAGACTTCCTTCTGTGCTTCAGTGCTCTGATGTGTATTAGAATGAATTCATCTCAGAGGTTTTATATAAGAAGAAAGCAGTGTGGTGTCAGTAAAAATAACTGTCTCCAGCTACTTGCCCCCTTCTACTTCCACAAGCAGAATCTTGCTAAACACTAATGAAGTCTTCGTTGTAATTTTCTGGTGCTTAATCTCTTACCAGTTCCATCGTCAAAAAGCTTCTCTTCAATTTGTTTGGTCCCTTGCCAAGGCTTTGATGTGCACCCCCCCCCCATAGACATCCTTGGGTCATTTCCAAATGTAGACCTGGAAAACAATCATGTTGATTCTAATTTCTGGAAAGAGGTGGGGGACGGGGTTCTAATTATTTTTGCCAAAAGGCAAATAAATACTTAAGCAAATAAAATTAGGTTTCTGTTTATCAAGTCTTCTGTTTGTGTATCCCATTGTAAGCGTTATTTATTCCCTTCTGTCTATCTTTTTTGTAATTTCACACCACTAAGGATCTCTATCAAGACATTTGAAAGAGGAAAAAGAGTAGCTATAAAGAAATTAATGCATAGAGCTTCTGTATGCAGTTATGGCTGCAACAATCCGAAATTATCTGCAACTCATTCCCGCTGAAAGCTGTGGAATGAGAGATGCAGACCAAATCTGTGTTTATTCAGGTTTACTCAGAAAAAGTCCAACTGTGTTCAATAGGACTCATTCTCATGACTTAAGCTGCAGTTTTAGTCATGGCTCTCATATGTCCTGCTTAAATCAATTAGCTTAAAATGCATTTGCATTTCTGCTGAATTGTTGCCAGAATCTTTTAACTCAGTGGAATACAAAAATAAAATGGGAGGGGGATTTCAATGTGCAAGCAAATATTGGATCATAACCCATCAATGATAGCACACTTTAAAGACTAATCCAGAATGCAATTATCATTTTTTAACTTGGGTGCAATCCTGTCAAAATTAAACACACACTTAACTCTCTTACATTGAAATCAATGAAGTTTAAAATAGCTTAACTTTATCTGGATTGCACCCATGCATTTTAAACTTGCACTCTTCTGGGTACCAAATTTCTCACTGAAATTCCAAGGGACACTAAGAACCATTTGCGGAACTGAAAAGACATTTCCCGCAGAACAAATTTTAAACAATTGTGTCTCTGTCTGTGGTCTTTATTTGGACAGGTCACAAACAGAGTAATGAATGGAATACCATTTAAGAAGACAGGTGAACAATGAAAAGGAAGAGAGGAGAAGAAAAGACAAAGGAGGAACAAGGACTCAGTCATGTGAAATTATTGTGATTGCCATTTCTATTCATTCTGTTTATGTGCTACAACCCTGTAAGGTGGGGCGCTGTTATTATAGACTGGAACTAAAGCGGAGCAATAATGTCTTATCTGGCACCGTGCATTAAAGATGGATTTTAACATACCTCCTTGCTGTTTCCTAAGCATGGTGCTCCACGCCACTGAAAAACAGCTACAGAATGGCTTTGCAATGTGTGTGTGCCATTCTGTATAAAGAGAATGGATTCCAAGTTGTTGGACTAAACGATCCTTGGGATCCCTTCCAACTCTACTGTTCTATGGTCCTATGATTCTAAATCAAAATGTGATAACTGGAATATTACTCTTCCTATGTTGAATTCAGTGATGGAATAACTGTTGTATGCCTCTTTATTATAGAGGCAGGCACTACTGAGGTGCTAACACAGGAATGAACACAATCTGAAGATGTCTCAGGTGTTCATAGTTTTACAATGTTTGTCCTTGAAACTGTTTCCAAAGTGATTGGGTGGGTGGAGGGAGGCGGGTGGATTGTGTGTGATTCTAAGGAGACCAGAGAAGGAATGCAGCTTAGAGTATCAAAAGAATCTGGTCCACAGGAAATGTGATTGTTTTAAAATAATCCAGAGTAATTGGGTTGAGAAAGTAAGGTGCAATTGTATGGAAGGATTTAAAATGAAATTGGAAGGGATTTTAAATGCTCTTACTAAATTCTCTGCATAATACTCTAGGCAGCCTTCAAAATCTTGATTTCAAAAAGCGGGATGCAGTTTGAGTGACCAGATTTTCAAAGTAAAATAATGGGCTGTCCATCACATGGGGGATGGGGAATGTGTGGGTTTTTTTGATAGCAGGCCAAAAAGTTTGGAATTCAGGCAGTCAAGTGATGAAAAAGTAATGCCAGTACTGTCTTCTTTCCTTTATCCTGTCTGTCTCTCCTGATATCCCATCAAAGTGCAAGATCAGTTAAGCAATCTTTGGCTTGCTGAAAGAAACAACACATGACATATCCTTTCTATTGCCAACAAGGTACTGTAAAACACAGGCTGTGTACATTTTAAGCACCTGACTTTCCCAAAGAATCCTGAGAAGGGTAGCTTGTTAAGGGTGCTGAGAATTGTAGCTCTGTGAGGGTCAAGCTGTTTTCCATACCCCTGTGGTGTTGTTTGGCTTGGTTTCCTTTAATCATGGGTGTGCTTTAACTCCAGCCCCAGCCAGCTGGGCCAATGTTTATGGATGTTGGTAGCTGTAGTACAGCAACATCTGGAGGGGCACAGGTTATCTATCCCTGTCATAGATCCTAACACTTTAAAGATGCATATATATGAGACACCAATAGTGTTAATTCCTGTCTCGTGTTATTCCATGACTCCCTCTTGGTTGTCAAGTTCCCAGTGGTAGCTTATATTTCTCATTTGTTGGTTTCCCTCTGGACTTTTTTTTGAAAAAACTTGGATCCTGTCAGCACTGCCTATCCATAATCTAATTAACGCGGCATCTGCTTCAACTTCACACTTCTTTGTTTTGAAAAAGCAGCAGACCATTGCAGTACTGCACCATCTTCTTTGTGCCAAACACGCCTGAGCACAGAAAAGGAGATTCATATGACGTGATAGCTTGCTGCCAGCATTGAATGACTAAACTTGGTCCAATAAATTGCACTGGCTTCACTGTTTTTTTTTTTTTTCTGCAGCAAATATGATTTATTGGATGTGGGTTGCTCAAGATGACCGACTCACAACTGAATTCTGCAGAGCAGTCAAGGAACTGCTGGCGGAGGCTTTCGCGAGGACTGCTGCATCACACAACACATGCTGAACTGAGTTCACAAGGTGGAAGGCAGGGAGCGCTAGAGTGCCAGCGTCCTGCTGGTACTTCTCTGCTCTTTGGGTGTGTGTAAACTTCTCATTTGTCCTGCCTGAGCAAGGGAGCAGAAACACCATCTGGTCGAGATCCTGGCCTTCGAAAAACTGAACAAAGGGCTAAAAACAAACAAACCCACCAGTGGGTGGACCACTCCAAAGCAGACACTGCAGTCACTCATACGGAAGGCAAACGCTGCTGCAGACAAGGCGCTGTGTTCTGCCCAAATCCAGTCCCTCTGAGTCCGTCGCTTTCCGAAAAGCCTTCCCCTGCCTTGTTGAGCCTTCTCAAAAGCTGCCCCATTTCCTGGGCAGCTTCTCTCGCTTCTCTTGGTGCAGCGAGGAAGATGCTGGGTGCCCGTCGATTCCAGCCTGTGCTTCCGGTTCAGGAGCTGCAAGCGGACGCCCCAGCCAAGATCTGCCGGGCGATGTCGGCGAGCGCAGGGAACGCCAGGCTCTTGGGAAATTCCTGGAGGAAGTCTCTGCCTTGTTCCAAGCTCTGGCTGAGCTGGGGGTCCAGGGGCACGCACCCTAGGAATGGGACCTCGGCATGCTTGGCCAGCTCCTGTCCACCTCCTTTGGAAAAGACATTGGTGCATTCCAAACAGTGTGGGCAGACGAAGCCGCTCATGTTCTCCACGATCCCAAGGACCCGTAAGCCTGTCTTCTTGCAGAAGGTCAGCTCTCGCCTCACGTCCCCCACGGAAACAGCCTGCGGTGTTGTAACAAGAATTGCCCCAAGAGGCTTATAAGGCCGAAGGGATTCTACGGTGGAGATATGCTCATCGGATGTGCCCGGGGGTGTATCCACAATCAAGAAGTCAAGTTCTCCCCAAGTGACATCGGAGACAAACTGCTTGATCAAAGCATTTTTCTTTGGTCCTCTCCATATTACGGCATCGTCTGGCTTTTCCAGAAGGAAGCCAATGGACATGACGGCAATGCTTTTGTCTTGGCCAACGAAGACCGGCACCCAGCCACCGTTGCACTGGTGAACATCTCGGTCCTGCACATTGAGCATGCGCGGGATGCTGGGGCCACAGAGGTCTACATCCAGGATCCCGACCTACAAAACCAGGAAATGGCGCTTGCTGGAAGCAGCTCATTAGTCAGCCGATCACCAGAAACCCCTCCTGCCTCCCAATTCCGTTGAGCCTCCTCCATTTCTGATGGGTCAACAGCCTTCTGGGCATCCATGACAGAGCGGTCCATGAATGGGCAGTGCACTATAGGCTGGGGAAGGGGAAAATCTGGATCTTTTTCCCAGTGTGATGCAGAGCCAAAGCCAGCTCTGTTGAGATGGTGCTCTTCCCTACGCCCCCTTTCCCCGATAGCACCACGATAATGTGCTGGACCCCAGCCAGGTTACCTCCATCCTCTGCGGCTTCCTCCATGTTGCTTCAGCAATCCTCACCACTTCCGATTTCCCTGGCTTCACTGTTTTCATTCTGAAGGACCAACATGCCTACTAGCTCAGTTGTCAAGGAAGGCTAAGAGCTCATCACTATATATATATATATATATATATATATATATATATATATACACACAGAGAGAGAGAATAAGAGTCCCACATGTGGATACAATGTTTGGAAAAATGGGCAAACAGGCAGACAAAGCAAAAGATCAGGAACCCTTTTTGCCCAAGACCCACGTTGCCTTCTGGTCAACCTTCCAGAGGCCACATGTGAGCGATGGGTATGCAAGGCCTACAGGCAAAAGTGGGTGGAGAAACTCATGTACATTTTATCTTTGTGCAGTAGGCTTCTTTCTTTCTTTCTTTCTTTCTTTCTAATGCTTTTTTGATTAACAGAGAAAAACAATCGGCAAAAACAATCCAAAATCCATACATATTACCAAAAGCAATAAATTCAATTCATACATAAAGAATTCCATTGTGACTTCCGATCACCCCAGTGTGGTTCCTACATTGCGTGTTCCACTGCGCACTTTCCCTTGTCTCTCCTACAGTGTCTCAATTGTATTGATTTTGTACTATTTCCTACTGTCATGCAGGCGTCAATCCATACCTACCAAAGAATTTAAATTTGTACAGTGTTCTTTTAGATCAGGGGTGTCAAACTCAAATTCATCGGGGGCCGCATCAGCAGTTTGGTCACCCTCAAAGGGCCGGTTGTATTTTAATATTCTTTTGGAAGCCGCCCAGAGTGGCTGGGAAAGCCCAGCCAGATGGGCGGGGTATAAATTATTATTATTATTATTATTATTATTATTATTATTATTATTATTTATCCCGTGAGTCCTGTATCTAGCAGTATTTTGCTTTTGTCTTCCCAGTACCCACATGCATCACGTCAATTTTATTCCAGGCAGTAAGTACTGGTACCTTACTCAAGACTGGTTAACGTGCTGTAACTACCAAAGCCTGATTTCCAATACGTGCTTTCGCGTGTGTGGGTGGCATTTTAATCCACATTAGTGACTGACAAGGTGAAACTGGAGCAGGGTAGTGATTCCAAATCACCGCCACATTCAGAATAAAGGTTTGCCATCGACTGGTGTATTTGTCTCATCAGTATTGTAACAATTCGATTCGGACCATTGGTCCATCTAGCCCGGCACTGCCAGGCACTGACTAGCAGCGGCTCTGCAAGGGTTAAGGCAAGAGTCTTTCCCGCGCTAAACAGCCTCTCCCCAGCGAGGGGTTGCTTGCAGAGCACAAATGGTCATGTTCAGACCAATCCACAAACTCCTTACGTTGCGTTAGCGGCTGATGTGGATCGGTAGCCTGCAAATAGTTTAAACTGCCACTTCTTGAACAATAGACCCTGCGACAGGAGTAACCACTCTATTATGTCGACAAGCAAGGTCGAAGTTCCACTGGGATTTATTTAAGTGTTTGCTCCGGAGGAAGCGGTTTGCGGATCGTGGCCCTATTGCAATTCCCAGCTAGTTTCCCCATCCCAATTTAATTATCCTTATGGGATTTTTATGATTACCAGGAGCTTTCCTCGCCTTGCAACAGCCTCTCTGCAAAAAGAGAACACGTGCCTTGGGAGGAACGAGACTTCTTTAGAAACCAGCGCGTGGTTGCCGCTGGTGCCAACCGGGGAGGCGCGGAGAGAGGAACCTATAACTTGATATCTCTTTCTCCGCAACAACTGCTTTTCGGAGAAAGCTCTGCAGAGCGAGCCGCTAAGCAGGCGTGAATCCGGCGCTCTGATCCCCCGAGCTCGGCTGGCGCGCCAAAACGCCACCGCCCGAAAAGGAAAAGTCCTCTGTCGCCTCGCCATTGGCTAGCAGGAATGGTCGTGGCTTGCTATTGGGCAGCGTGGAGGGGAGAGCCCTCCTTTAGGAACGTACTATGGCTTGTCTGGCATTTTTCTCTCCTGGGGGGGGGGGAGAAAGGGGTGGGACGGCGCGTGCCTCCTTCCCCGCTTTGCTGCTCGGAGCCGGACTGGACTCCTGTGCGCTTCGCCTTCTGCGCGCTAAAGCGAAGAGGCGGCCCTGCGGCAGCCAGATTTCGTGCGGAGGGAAAGCCCAGCCTTGTTTGCACAACCTCGAGCCAGTCAGTCACGTAAAAGCATCAGCCCGCCCCCGGGGCCGTCCTCCTTTTCTCTGAATGTGCAGTGCTGCCACACACACACCCCGCCCCGGTCTTTCCCTCAATGAATACACACAAGCTTTCTCCTTAAAAAAAAAAAAGCGAGAATAAAAAAAAGCGCTGGCAGCCGGCGGCGGCTACACGGGCCGCATGAGGAGGTCTGCCGGGCCGGATTTGGCCCGCGGGCCTTGAGTCTGACACCCGTGTTTTAGATAAACTCTGTGAGTTTCCCATTCTCTATTAAATGTTTGTTCTGAAACATCTCTAAGTCTTCCTGTCCTTCTTGCTAGCTCAGCATAGTCAAGCATTTTCGTCTGCCAGTCCAGCTTAGTAGGAATGAATTCTCCTTCCCAACCTTTTGCTATTACAACTCTTGCTGCGGCTATTGCATACATAAAACTTTTCCTCACATTTTTTGGAATATCATTACTCATTATACCCAACAGAAAGGCTTCAGGCTTTTTTTTGGGGGGGGGGAGTACATTTAAACATTTTCTTAAGCTCATTATATATTATACCCCCAAATTCTCTTATTTTTTTACAGGTCCACCACATGTGGATCATTGTGCCCTCTGCAATAGGCTAGTTTCTATATACTTTCTACTCTAACCTCCATCCAGGCAAACAAGAGTTCAAGGACACATCCCAGGTAGGCTTGTGTGAAGCAGGGCTAGTGAGGGATGTGGCCTGGAGAGAGTCCTGAGAGTCAGATTGAGGGGCCTGAAAAGATGCATTTGGCTACCTTACCTGAGTTTCCCTTCTCCTTCTATGTACCAAGGAGCTCCCAAGGATTTTTGTTAACGCCCTGCCCTCCCCCAAACCAAAATGGCTTGAATGCCTGCTGCTCAATGCTTCCTCCAAAGGTTGGTTGTAGCTAAAAGCATGTGAAGAGCCTGCTGGATCAGGCCCATGGCCCATGTAGACCAGCATCCTCTTCTCACAGCAGCCATTCAGATGCTTGAGGGAAACCTGAAAGCTGGACCTGAGCAAAATAGCACTATGGCCTCCTGTGGTTTCCAGCAGCTGGTACTCAGAAGCATTACTGCATGCCATAATAGTGCATGGGGACAAGATTTCGCCTGTTGGGTCTGGGGGTTAAGTACCTTAAGACACCCTGACAGGACATTGGTAGACAAGGGCTTTTATCCACACCCATGTGGAGATATCAGGCTGTAAGGGATATTAATGGTGCCTAGGATGGGAAATCAGATGGTATTTAGATGTCTAAAATGTCAATATTTATTTCGTAAAAATTCAATACTGCTTGATTTTTTTAAAAAAAACAACTAAAAGTTGTTATATAGAAGTTGCTTAATAAAATACTTGCACTCCTTCCTCGATTTCCTATCCACTGGCACTGGAAATGCTTCTGTATCCAAGGGGGAACAGGTGCCTTCAAAAATGGAAGCATCCCTCTAACTGGTCCAGCGCCCAAGTCACTTTTCCCAATCACATTCCTCCTCTCCTTTAAATTATTCTGACATACTTTTCTCTTCAATGAAAGCAGTAAGTGCCAGTGCCAAATGGAGAAGCTCCTGAAAATGCATTGTGTCAATTATGCTGTACCAAAGCTTTCCCAGACAAAACTATCATTTCATGGGTAGTTTTACTATAAAATGCCATCTGTGTCAAATAAAGAATGAGGCAAAACTACAATATCCAATTCAACATTTGAGGATTATAATTAGCTGCTGAGTATATATGGACAGCCTTTTAAAAAAGATTTCATAACTCCTACGTTGCTGAGTTTATCTTAATAATGAAATATAATGGTGACGGAAGCAGGATTTATGTTATTTTGAGCTTACTAACAGGCAGTGTCACTGGTAACTCTTGTGTAAGCTGATATGCAAATTTTACAAATGGGTGCTTTTCATGTTTATCCTCTTGGCAGAAGTACAGACTGGGATCAAAGTGATCGAGGCTGTAATCTAATATGATCAGTGATGAGGAGATATTCATCACTAAGGTCTCTGAGCATGTTATCATTGTCTTCTCTGGTTGGCATGAAGGCAATGGCATTATTTTTCAGGTTTGCACCTTGTCATTCCAGAAGAGACCGGGAGGAGTCACTTCCCTTGGTGGGAATGCAGTAGACTGCAAAATATTGAATAATATTAATGCTGTTTCTTTTTGTTGATGTCAGAGTTTAGGTGATCTTTGTAACAACCTGTACTGGGCATTTGACTTTGTATAAATTTTGGCTAATGCGGACTACGAGAATTTGTCATGAAGTATTTCTTGAATAAGCTCTGCTTGTGCATTCAAAAGGATCTGTGAAGATTTCAGCTGGGTAAGGGCATGTGGTGTGTTCATGCTGCACCTGCTTACAACATCTCCACGCCCCACCCCCTCCTGAGCTTTCACTCTGTTTCCCCCCAATTTATTTTATTTTATTCTTTCATACAGAAATAGCATAACATAAACAACCACAACCACAAAAACAAATGTCCAGATTTGGCCAACAGACCTAAAGCAATGTCACCATTCCCTACACAATGTCTTTTCTTACTCCAAAAGATCTCCCCATAACTAATCCAGTGTCTTATTTGGGTTTGATACATTGAATAAAGCAAAACCAATTGTGATCAAGTGATCTCACTCTGAATACTTCTTTTGTGGCCACAGCTGTTTAATTAATTTTCTCCATAATCACTTGCTGTGGCAAGTGGCAAGGAGAGGTGGTCTAACTTTTATCATTTCCGAGATATAGCCATTCTTGCTGCGACCGGTGGGAAGTTTATGATTTATTTGTGTTTGAAATGAAATATTTTACTCTTATACAATGAGAGCAGTTCTAGTTAATATTCCAGTTCTGTAATCACCCTAATCTCCCCATGTACCTAAACCCAGGAT